ATCTCATTCTAGCAATAAGTAACATTCACCAATGGATACATGAACATATGGGGATACAAAGGGTAGAAACGATTCATCCACTGAGCAAAAAGTTTCCTATAAGTTCATGAAATAAATGACCAAAATGGCAATATACAGGAGGCAGACGCTTAATGACTGAGCCACCCAGGTGCCCCTATACAGGGACTGTTTTGATCAACTGTATACTACTAATAATCTTTATAACTCAATCCAGAAAAAATTTAATACTTACTTTTAGGATGATAGAATTTTTAAACTTAATATACACATACATATATATTTCATAAGAGTAATGAAAGGTTGATGAATAACAAGACTCTCAAGCATAAAAATATTACATTAAGATAAAATTCTGTGGAAGTAGAATGGAAATACGAGTTCAAGGAGAAAATAAGGATGTGAAATTTGACTGTTAAAGATCTTATTCAGGCCTTTTTAAAAATGCATGATTTGGAAATCAAATTGCTACTCACTGGATATGCTTATTTTAAAATGTCAATATTTATTATATTCCAGAAAAAAACATCTGCAATTCTTTAAATGTATAAAAACTAGATGCCAACTTAAATATATGTAATAGTTTTTCAAATTCTAATAGGAACAAAGGAGTCTGATTAAAAAAAACCCCACTTCACGCTTTGTAATGTTCTTTCCCTCCTTTCTGCCTATATAAATGACATTTCTCTAAGACATAGCATCTCAACAGCTCACTTCCTTTATCAAATCTTCCCCAACACCCCCAACCCTCAATGGCTACTCTCTTTTGTAACACTTATGTCTAATTCATCTGGCCCACATCCTCTTTTTTTTTTTTTTTAAGTAGACTCCACACCCAGCACGGAGCCCAATGTGGGGCTTGAACTCACAACCCCTAAGATCAAGACCTGAGCTGAGATCAAGAGTCAGACGCCTAACCGACGGAGCCACCCAGGTGCCCAAAGCCTACACAACCTCTTAAGGAGACACAACACATAATATGTGCCAGGCTTTATGTATACTAACTCAGTTAATCTTCCAACATTTCTGTGAGGTGGATTCTATTATTGTCACCTTTTTCAGTATGACAAAACCAAGGACAGAGAGGTAATAACTTGCGCAAGGTCAAGCAGCTAGCTAGTAAGCGGCAGAGCTGGGATAGGAGCTGGAGATGACATGCAGGTACGTGGACTCTGGAGTCTGAGCTCTTAACCACCATACTCCCCCTATATTTCCCATCCCCCTGCCCTTCATCTGAGTTTAGTGCAACACTTATTTGTGGGGGAGGATGCTTCCCTGCTAAGAAGCTATGCTTTCAACACAGCAGCTGCTGTCAACGAGCCCCCAAGATAACCTCTGAGTTCTCAATTTGTGTAGCCAGAATGTGCTTATAGTCCCTTAAAATAACCTCCTCTTTCATGCCTGTAGGGAATAATCAGATTCAACACATAGCTACTTATTTCAATTTTTAAAAGTTCCAATTAACAGGAAAGAAAAATCCTTAGCAGTCAATTGCATATTATGGTATTCCAAAAATGTCTGAATTACCTAAGTCTGCCTAGCCATAACTTACTTAATGCTTTTTACTCTTAAACTAAATATGGAATGCAGTCCTGGGAAAAAAATGAGAGATTGATTGCAAACCATTTTAATATCCTCATGAATCTTTTCATGGAAATAAAAACAACTTCAGTGAAGCTCTGAGACCTTGTTTACAAGGAGGAGGACTCCAGGGATGGAAGGCCCAGATTCAACCATCCTTAGAAGATGAATTTAGGAGCAAGGAGTTAAGCACAACAGAGACTTTATGTAATACTAAGTTTTGTGAAGACTCTTTAATGGTTATACCTAATTGGCCATCTATCTAGTCTTTCTACAGTTTAAGAAACTGAGTCCGTAAGAAATCTAAGGACAAACTCAAGGTCACTGGTTGGCTTCAAGGCACAACTGAGGATTCAGACCTCTAATTCCCAGTGTGATTCTCTTATGTGTTTAACTAGATGGAGTTCATTTTGACTTTCTAAAAGTCAAGGGTCATGTTATGAATCCAATCACATTACATATTCAAAACAGAGAAAAACTAAGCGACCTCTTTTTGAATGCTAAATGTGCCCATGCAAGGAAATTACTCAGTCATTGCAGCCAAAGGAAAGTCTTTTCTTCCATACTTTTTGATGGCAGTTCATTACATTTTACCTCCAGGCTACTTGCTTTCTTTTAGCAAGATCCATTACATATAGTACTTTCATAGTATGTTGGTGGAAAATAGGCAAAAGTATTGCATTTAGATATTTCTCTTAAGGGTTGAAACATGGTTTACACACATACTCATTCATTCACAAACACCCGCCTAGGAGAACGTAGTCCTGGGGCGGAGAGGCGGGGGGAAGCTTGAAGGTATATATTTTAACCGATCTGGAACCTGAACCTTGTGCTAGTGAAAATGTACAGGACACACTGGTAACCCATAGCAACCTCATTCTTCAAAGTAGCTGTTGATGTCAAAAAACTAGGGCACCAAAGTCTAATAATTACAACTCCAAAGACAAATGAAGCCACAGCTAGCAAATGTCACTTACTGATCATGATGTCACTGCAAGGTATGCACTTGTTGTGATGAAACAAATATAACGTAAGGGGATACAGGGGCTTCTGCCTGTATCACATTCTATCTTCCAAATCAAGATTAACAAAAAAAAGCTAAAGTAGCCTTAGTGACATGAAAAGCTTCAATTTAATGAAAGATGATTATAGTGCAAGAAAAATTAATCCTCATTTCTCCCATCTTTTCCTCCAGAAAAATGTTATTTTCTACAAACTAAATATAATCTTTGAAAAATTAAAAAAAAAATAGTTCCAAAAGGGCATTTCATTAAATTATGGGTGCTACAAAATGGATTTCTTATTTAACCTGATAGAAGGCGATACATTGTGTTGCATTAGAACTCTTTCAAATCCCTCTGATCTTGTAGAGCTTTTAAAGCTAGTGAGCACAAGATTTCCTCTAATTTAATATTTCTAGAAACGTTTTGAATGTAATGTTTGAACAATAATGAAAAGAAACACAAGAGTGTTTTTTAATAGCTTAAATGATGTTAAGAGAGGACTCTAAACTGCACCTCTGACCATTTTCAGAATCTGGAGAGAACACAAATAGACACTAAAACTTAAATATAAAACACCAAGAAAAAAACAAAAAACAAAAAAACAAAGTTGGTTGAACCTACGCCTCCCAACTCAGTTTGTTGCAAAATCAATGATGACCACACAGTTTTTATAATCTGAGAAGTGCTGTTTGATTTCTGTTCTTGCTTTTGTTTTCTCTCAAAGCTTAATTGGAGCCAAAGGTTACTTTGGGGGAGAAAACGGTCAAAGAGTAACTAAAATAGAGACTGAGGAATTTAAGGATACTTTATCAGGTTTGTATTACTTTAGTTTTTTTAAAAGAATATTTCAAGTAAACTGAATTTGAAACATTTAATATAGACTCTCAATAAAGACAGATATTCCATAATATCAACTCTTTCTGTTTCTTTATCCTTGTTGCTGAGAGGTAATAAAATCTTTTGTATAATTAATGGTTTAGTAACCTAATACCATTATAGTACCTAATCATAAAATATTAATAGTTTCTCTCCCCCAAGCCCCATTTTTTTCTGGCTCATAAATTTGGTACTAACAACAAACAGGCTCTATTCATTAATACTCATCCGAATAACTGCATCTGGTCAGTTTATTTAAAGGGGGCACAATTAGCATACATCCAAAGACAATTTAGAAAGTTAAATTTGAAAGTAGGTATTTACGTTCTTTCAAGAAATATTAAACACAAGCCACTCGACAAAAGCATGGAAGTTGGCTGATGTTTTCTCTACACCTAAGACGAAAAGCTACATCCTGTCCATGGATTTTGATCAATCGCCCAGATACCTGGTTTACATGAGGCCGAAGTTTAAAACACCGAAGAGCTTTCAAGTATTTCACAGTATGGCTGCTTTGGTGCAGCATAACCAGACCCCATTCAGGCACTTTGAACTCGTCGACATCCAAACACCCTGAAGACCTCACATCTCTTCCTTAGGTTTCGACCAGTGATTTAATTAAAACCCCAATGAGCCAGGATCCAGACAACCTGAGCCTTCATGCACCGGTATGTGAAAGAAAACGACAGATGGAGGGAGGTCAGGAAGGCGACTGAGAAGAGGCTCTCTCTCCACAACGGGGCTTATTTTTTCCAAGAGGGAGATTTGTTGAGAGGGGCTCAGATACAAACATAGAAGGATGTATAGTTTGAATGAAAGCCTTTCAGGTGAACTGGTATCTCCATCTCCCACCGATCGCTTTCATGTTGGAAAAAAACAAAAAATATAAACACTCTGGGCTTGAGAGAGCAAAAATAAAGATCGCTATGTCACTTCGAATGGTTATACACGCTGGTTTCAGGTTCAATCCAGGCCAAGAACAGTAAAACCCATCTGGAGAAGCACTCTAAGTTAACTTCACGTTATACCTAACTTATTTATCTGTCGTTTCCCACCAACTTCTGAAGCTTTCTGCTTTCAAGCTACAGAAATCTCATCCAAATGCTTCACCCTGTTTATTCCACCCATTGTGACATCCAGAGGCAATTCGAGGTCTGTATTCTTATTTTATTATTATTATTTTTGTTATGCTAATACTCTAAGCGTCCAGTTGAGAACAACTTCTCTTTCTTAACTGACCAATCCACTGGCATTGTCACCTTGGAGGGCTGGGAGGCAGTTAAATCTTGGTGGTTCCTGGTTCTGCAAAGGGGCTACTAGTCAGCCATTGGACATTTTGGACTGCTTAGCTGGGGAGAAGGAAAGAGGAGAAAAGAAAAGCTTTTAGGGCCTGGTAAATGCATGTTTGTTGGGTTGAGTACACAGGCAAGTCAGAGCCTATTAATTTCCAAATCAACCACTGGGCTATGACGGCAAACTAAGCTTATAGTCACAGCAGCAGAAGAGGGCCCTCTAATTTACGGAAACCATCCTCTGTGATGAGCTCCAGATCCCCTGGACAACCTGCGAAAACTCTGAGGCTGCAATGATGGTGACAGACTCATTTAAACAAAAAGAAAAGCAATTAAGCAAACGGACTTGACTGAGAAGTAGGAATTCTCTGGCGAGCTGCTTCAGCATTAACTCTGTCACACAGCCTACCTCCTAAGTAGACCTAAGGAAAAACAACAGTAAACCATGCTTGATGTCACAGGCTGGGCCAAAGTGGGGGCCATGCTGTACTCAAGGAAGAAACATTCCATTACAAGCAACAGTTTTTTAAGCAAATCTAAAAGCAGATAAGCACATCTCCTGTGTGATGGGGATGCTACTTTCTACCCATAAAATGAAACCTCTGGCCGTAGCTGAAGGTATAATTTTAGAGCTCTCAGAGATGTTGAACAATGGCTTATGCAAGAGTAGAAAAGGATGGTCAAAAATATTGTTTCTGGCTTACCAGAGATTTTAGAAAACTCAATAAAACTCAATAAAAGATTATTTCAGACTTTCTTGTAGGTAGCAAAGTGAACATTCCCTGAACACAGTACCCTTTGCTTCCCCACAAAACCCAAAAAGCAAACAGCGCCTGCCCATATATTTTATCATTAGTTTTCAAACGCTTTATTATCTACTGGTATAAAGATTCAAGGAAACACTATTTCCTTTTCTAACTTTTTCAGCCTAGCTAACAGCAAAGAAGAATCTAAAGTGGCATTTTTATGAGGTCCTTTTCTAAGAGAGTTGATACCATGGTTAAGTGGTCTGGTTACTAGGATTAAATTTGTGGTTGGAAAAGTACTCCATTCTAAAAAAAGTGAATTCAACATGAACCAACATAAATGTGCAACTCTGAGGGTGTCTGGGAGCCACGGCTCCATCCAAATCCTAAGGAAGGACAAGAACCACTGCCCATGGTTAAGTCCCTAAGAGGATTAAAAGCCTATTTACTGTCACTTGGTTGATAAAGATGCTGCTCATCAGTCCCATCCTAAAAGCAATAAACAATCGCCCGATTTTATACTCTCCCAGGTAAAGACTTGTAAACAGAAAGAACTAGTAACGAACGTTTTTCTTAAAAGAAAGTTAAATTCCAGTAACACCTGCTATTGTAATACATTCCATATTTAAGGCAGGCCATACGTGGGGGGTGTGTGTGCATGTCAGAGACGGTCAATGATCTACTAACTGAAAGCCGTAATTGACAGAATTCCCATTTTGTAAAATTAAAACAACAACAAAAAAACCCACTGTTTTTAGATCTTAGAAATAAAGATTCCAATTAATGAACTCATGACCAAGACAAATATTATGAGACGTAAGAGGAGATATATATAGGGAAAGAACATACATATGTAGAGTTAAATGTTTTACCATTTCTGATTATCAAAAGGCTAAGTATATTTTTAAACCACACAGTGAGTATAATGACAAGTTTAAGAAAGACCACCATAAATACCATGTTCAAAAACCAATTGCTCCATGAGAGGCGATGGACTCTGAGAAACAAACTGAGGGTTCTAGAGGGGAGGGGGTGGGGGGATGAGTGAGCCTGGTGATGGGTATTAAAGAGGGCACGTACTGCATGGAGCACTGGGTGTTATGCACAAACAACGAATCATGGAACACTTCATCTAAAACTAGTGATGTAATGTATGGTGATTAACATAACATAACAAAAAAAAAAAAACCACACAAAAAACCAATTGCTAGTTTATTAAAAACGACACACAAAGAATTCCAGAACCAGAGTACATGTTTCGCAGCTATTGCTTTGTTTTCTTACCTTGGATGTTGTACAGTCGGACCCTATGGGTAACATGTTCCAAAAAGCAAGTCACGTCTGAGTAAAACCTTCCACGTTGCACTCTGACAAAGGGCAGTGTTGTGTAAACATAAGGCTGAGGAGGAAATGACATTTTTAAGAAAAACATTTCAGCTTTTAACTTTTCCAAGGGATGTTTATTATCATTTCCCAAATGGCAAATACATACCACCTGATATTTGCAATCTCAAGTGAAAACAAAACCTTACAAGGTATCAGAACAGGTGCATGCTATAAAAATGGAGTATAAGGTTTTTCATTAGACAAAAAGTGCTGAAAATAGAAAATAAAAATGTTTACAACTTGACTGGCCTAGGTGATCTACAAACATTCCCTCCCAGCTATAAAAATTTCTAATTAAAACCCTTCTATATTGTCCATGTGCTATTTATTAGAAATACCATTCATTCTACAGCAGTGACATTTTCCAAGGCAAATGTTTATTATAACCGTGGCCCCCTAATGTTCAGGGGTCGGGCAGGTGGCAAGGATGACCACAGGGAGTCATCTAAGCAAACAGAAAGCAGGATTCAGAGAATTGCTTAATCACAGTTAGGTTTACTAGTCTATAAAACACACTGCCCTTTTACTAGAAAGAACTAGCTGAATATAAAGCAAATTTACAAACTTGAAAAAACTATGGCAACCACTGGTTTAAGGTTTCGTCATTTCGAATCTAGTTGTCAAGAAAAATCAGGAACAGAACATACTTCTGTGACATAGGAACACATTGAAAGCATTTATGAAGAATTATATTTTCTCTTTTTTTTTTGAAGGAATTATATTTTCTTAAGCATTACAGGCTGCAGAAGCTCAACAATGGCATGACAAGCTAGGCTTGCATTGTGAACTACTTAAGTAGCATCAGATTTTCAGAACTGTGAAATTTTCTTCCAAATGTACCTCTCTGGTTCTAGAAAAAATATTCTGAAATTAATATAATGCATTAAGAGTTTACAAAGTTCTTGGACCTAATTTTACCATATAGCTAAAAAGTAAGGGAAGAAGATGAAAGCTGGCATGGGGATTTCTGGGCTCCTACCTGTTTCTGATGCACCCACCTGCCTCCCTGATAGTCTTTTATTTTCTCTTTGTAAATATATGATAATTCTCTTGTTTTTTTAATTTAATATTAGAGCTATTTAAAGATAGAAGAATTTTAAATAAATTAGTCACAATTGTCCATGCATAATATTCCAGAAGTATTGTTATTTTTCATGTTTTCTTTGGTATAAGAACAGTCAATCAAAACCAAATTCCTGGGGTGCCTGGGTGACTCAGTCGGTTAAGCGTCTGCCTTTGGCTGGGGTTATGATCCCAGGTTCCTGGAATCAAGACCCACGTCGGTCTCCCTGCTGAGCAGGGAGCCTGCTTCTCCGTCTCCCTCTGCTGCTCCCCTTGCTTGTGCCCTCTCTCTGACTCTCTCTCTCAAATAAATAAATAAAAATCTTAAAAAAAAAAAAAAAAAAAACAACCAAATTCTTGTCCAAGTGAGAACAAACTGATACAGCTTATACTTAGGATCCACTACCCTTCCTAGAACGGCTACTATGAGCTGTAGTTTACCTTTAATTCCTCACTGATTTAAAAAAAAATCGAAACAACAAAAAACTAGACTCCTTAGAACGGTCAATGCTATTCTTTAAAATCTATTATTTGGGGCGCCTGGGTGGCTCAGTCGTTAAGCGTCTGCCTTCAGCTCAGGTCATGGTCCCGGGGTGCTGGGATTGAGCCCCGCATCGGGCTCCCTGCTCAGCGAGAAGCCTGCTTCTCCCTCTCCCACCCCTGCTGCTTGTGTTCCTTCTCTCTCTGTGTCTCTCTCTGTCAAATAAATAAATAAAATCTTTAAAAAAATAAAATAAAATAAAATCTATTATTTGATTTCGGTTAACAGGTTTTTCGAAATTGAAGAACAACAGTAACTTCTGCAGGAGACAGGTTTCTAGGCAACAAAATATGGAGAATATTTAACTTATCTTGAAGTAGAGAAAACCTATATAAGTAGAATAGCAAAGGAAGATGTTCTAAAGAAAAAAATACAGAACTGACTACACAAAAATTAAAAAAAAATACTATAACAGCATAAGATAATTAAATTAAATGACACACTGATGGAACATTTTGCAGTATATAGGAAAAAGGATTAATTTTTACCATATATAAAGAATGCTTATAGATCCGTAAGTCATACCAGTAGAAAAATGGTCAAAGAACTTATATATGAAACTCACAAAAGATATAGGAGAGAGAAATAAATGTATGAAGTTTAGCTTCCCTAATAATCACAAAAACTTAACAGTAAAATATTTTTCACCCATTATTATAGGTAAAGCTTTTGATATGACTGATTCTCAGTGCTTGGAGTGGTATATTAGAGAGCTACTCTCAAAAATGCTGGTGGGAGCGAATATTTATGCAGTCACTTTAGAGGACAGAGAAATAGTATGTATCAAGTCTTTTTTTTTTTTTAAAGGTTTTATTTATTTGACAGAGAGAAACACAGCTAGAGAGGGAACACAAGCAGGGGGAGTGGGAGAGGGAGAAGCAGGCTCCCCGCAGAGCAGGGAGCCTGATGCGGGGCTCCATCCCAGGACCCTGGGACCAGGACCTGAGCCGAAGGCAGATGCTAAACAACTGAGCCACCCAGGCGCCCCAGTATGTATCAAGTCTTTTTTTTTTAAAGATTTTATTTATTTATTTGAGAGAGAGAGAATGAGAGACAGAGAGCAGGAGAGGGAGGAGGGTCAGAGGGAGAAGCAGACTCCCCGCCGAGCAGGGAGCCTGATGCGGGACTCGATCCCGGGACTCCAGGATCATGACCTGAGCTGAAGGCAGTCGCTTAACCATCTGAGCCACCCAGGCGCCCCTGTATCAAGTCTTAAAGGCCTCATCCACTGACACAAAATAACTCTTCTAGAAAGTTATTCTCAGGAAATAAAATAAAAAGAATGCTACAAAGAAAGCTTATCACAATGTTACAGTAGTGAAGTATTGGGAGAAAATCTACATATGCAACAATAGGAAATTCTTTTTTTTTTTTTTACATATATATACATTTTTGTGTGTGTGAAAACATTTAAGTTCTACTCTCTCAGCATATCATATAATACGGTGTTATCAACTACAGTCACCATGTTAGACATTGGACCCTCAGACCTTTAATCACAACAGTATATATTAAAAATGTGTTTTCGAAGAATATACCATTTGATTGTGAGCACTGTCACAACAGTGAAAATGGGGGAGAAAGGGATATGCATAGTAAGACAATAAAAAATACATCAAAATGTTGGCAGTGGTTTGCATGGCCTTTGGAATAGTTGGTAAATTTTATTGTTTTCTTCAGTTTTCTGCATTTTCAAAAATGTGCCAAAATTTGTATATATTATTACACCTTTACAGTCAAGGGGAGGGAAATTTTTTTTGTTTTTTAAAGTGCTGAAAGTTAAGGAGAAAAATGGCCCACTGGACAATTTATTTTTCTCCTATGGCTAGATAATTTGTCTCTGTATATGTGCTGTGCCACACAGAACACCACAACAGCACCTGAACCCTCCAACAAATCTGGCTTCTTTCCATGGAGAGCAACTGTTCATTGTAGCACCTTAATGAATTCCAACCCTGAAAAATTATTTGTTTACCTAACACTCACGACTACCGATTGCCAAGTGTCAATAAGGAAATATAATAGTGGAACCAACTCATCTATACCTAACAGATGACAAAATAATGAGATGAACTTATTTTTTTCTTCATTACTCTTTCAATAAATGCTTATTCACAGCTCAGTTCATTGGCACTTACCTTGGCTTCCCCATCAGGTAAGAAGAGGTAGGCACCACTTTTGTCCTTTTTACTGGTGGTTCCATACCATGAAAATTGCACTTTTACTTCATGATGTTTACTGTCTTCTTTACTTATCATTTCCTAAGGATAAAAACAATGTTTAAAAGCAACTTACTATATTAAGATTTTAATGATGTTGCATCGGGTTCCATGTATATGTTGATTAAAAAAAAAACACCAAAAAACCTCAAGACAGACAGAAAAATGCTAACATTCAGCCTCTAATGTTCACGATTCTTGGATGAACACCCAAAATCTTATATTTAAAAGTATACTTTTATAGCTAATACTTAGAATTTAAAACTTTCACAATAGAAACAAAAAGAACACACTTCATTAAGGAAGAAAGAGATACACAAATTAAGAGATGTGGACCAGTGCTTCTCAAACTTTCTGTACTGAAGAAGCAGGTTTATTTTTTTATTTCCAGTATGCATGGACCAATATTTTTGTGAAGTACAATAAGAGTGAATTACTAGAAAAATTAAATTTAAAGTGATATACCAAATATACACTCAAATTTTTTATTATTAGATTCAGTAGGCATAAATTTATTGTGTCATTGTGCTTTCAGAGTTTCCACAAACATTTTTCTCAACCATTACAGCTTCTATACTTATCTTGTGGACCAGTAACAGTTCACGGAGCAGCACCACCCACAGACCACCCTTGTTAGGAGCAAGTGGTCACAGTGGACCACATATATCAGATACATATAGCTCATCCATCCTTTCTCCCAGAGTATTTGCATCGACTTTCCCCCCTCTGCATACATAATCTGCACATATTATAATAAAAGTGATAAGCCTTCCATGAATTTGGAAACTATTCAGAACATATCTCCAAAAGCCCAGACTGATCAAACCGAAGTTTAACAAAGGAGTTCTCTAGAGTTATATCTTCTTCAGTACTTTTTACATTCTTCATGTTGAAAATTCCTTTATCTTTTACGTTACCATTATGCAGCACATACTCAGCTAAATGTGGGTCTGAACTTGCTGATTACAAAATTCTATACACTTTCAGTCCGAGTGGTGGCATCTGCACTAGAAAGGAGATCTTTAAAAGACAGAGGAGAGAATTTTTTTAAAGAGAAATGCAATCTACTGAAAGAAAAGGATTTATACATCTAGTAAGAACAACAACAAAAAAACTACCGTATTTTAAAAAGAATTTAATACTCTAAAGATGTTTTGAGAATTTATGGGTAGAGTATCCACATTTCCATTTATCCAGGGAATCTAATAACTTCAGGTTGGTAGGACTATCAAAGGCATGAATGCTTTCATTCAATATATGAAATTATACGAGCAACCTCAATTGTCCTATGGTGCTCTTAATGGATGCTCAGAGGAGAAAATGCTTCATGAAGGTAGGAGCTTTAGGTGAACAACGATTTTTCCTAATTATCAGGACCCTTTTTATACTATGGTTTCAAGTACATTAAAAATAAAAGTGGTAAATGTAATACTATAAATATTAGGCAGGCTAACAGTGGCCATCGAATGCCTGGGGTCCAGCAGACAATGCACAAAGCACAGAGGATGCACACACACTGTAAGTCATGACCTCTGCCTTCTAGGAGCTATTCCTCCCTTTTCTAGATAGGCTGTTTCCTGTAACATCTGACCAAAACTTCTATTATCTTCTCCTTTCTAACTAAAGGATTATGAATTTATGAAAGCAGCCAGCAATGGCTTTTAACAAGCAAAGTAATTCTCATTTAGAGTTCCTAGCTTTTGGCTGCGTCTTCAGAAGTACAGTTTAATTTGCACTCGAGACTCCAAGAATTCAACTTTTCTAGTGATGCAGGGGTCCAGTTTAATATTACTTTAAGAAATTTTCTCCAAAAATGTCTATTACTTCAGGCCAGGCTTTCCACAGTTGTATCTCAGGTAAAAAGCACCTTCCTCTATTTTAGGAAGTCCTTCTTTTATGGTGTGTCACGTCACCTTTGCAATGAAACGCTGAAAGGACCTAAGTTATTTAGAAAAGGTGTTATTTATCTCAACTTCAGTGTGCATAATTGTTACTGAATTGAGTTAAACAAAGAATTTCAAAAATTTTTAGGTAATGATGACTTCATTACTTCAGGAAAAAGTTCCAATACTTACAAAGATATACAATATACATGCTAATAACATACTAATAATAACATGTGATATACACACTAAAGAAGATATTAGTATTCTAGGAAACACAGGATCTCTTTTCCTTTAGTGTCATTTAACTGGTCAGTTAAATCCCCTGGTATCCACAACTTTAACCACTTCACATACACCAATGTGATGACTCAAAGGGAGCATGGATACATATATAAACTACATACTGGCTATGCTTTTTTAATGGTGCCTCTTTAAGTTCTATGGCGAAAACGTACCTCATAGGCTGTCTGTGAAATAGTAGTTGCTGTATTCCAAACTGCACTCATCTGAATTTCCACAGGCTTTCCGGAAGCAGAAGACACTTGTGCTGTGGGGGAACTCACATAGACTGAGACCACTGAGATTCGGTCTTGTTCTGAAGGATTACAGACCACAAGATACCTGCAAAAACAGCTGCTTCACTACTCGGGTCTTAAAACAGTATTTCTACTTCTTTTACACTATGTGTAAAGACTCAGCTTGTAGACATAGAGTCAACACACGGAGAGGACTTATAATGAACACATTCTGGTAAAATTTTTGGAGAACACGCAATTTCATCACAAATAACACACACTACAAAGGGTAACGAAATAATGATTCACTTTCTAAGAATAAAATGTTATACAAATGGAAGACATTAATAGAACTATAATAAAGTTATTTCCATGGCCCAGAAAATGACCTATATAACACATGGTTTTATTAGCCTTTCTAAAATAATCAGCTTGATCCAACTAATCTCCTGATCCCTGCCTAAGCTCGCTGAGTAAGAAAACACATACATTGCCTATTTGTACTTTAGCCACAATTAATTTCAATTAAAATCCTGACATTCATTTTAGACCACTAAAAGACAACAAAAATGTATGGCTATCCATGCAGAATCACACATTTATTTTATATACATGGGGTCCTTATTCCCCAAGAGAGTTGGTTCTGGAAAAAAGATCATTTCAAGTAGCTCCACTTAAAAAGGGTGTTAAAATTTTATACAAATAGTGCTAAAAAAGATTTGACTGGGCCTAGCTAGAAAAAGGACAACACACACTATTAAAATAAGTTTAGACAATTATTTAAAACTACATGCAATTCTTAGAATGAGCAAAAAAATGAATGAACTGGAGTTTCTGGCAGACTTTTTCCAACAATATTTTATATTAGCACATTATGACACCTTCACACATTTAATTTTTATAGGATGGTTTTAAACATAACTACATTTGTAAAAAATATTCAAGGACTTCATCATTTTTCCTAAAGTCCTCTTCTTAATTTCTTTGATATTCAAAGAATTCTTAGTTGGAGATCCTCACTGTTTCATGGCTTTGCCTGTGAGCAGAAATGTTCTAGACCATCATATCACAGACTTCATGAAACAGAGTCTTTGAAAGATTTATGATTTTACTTTATGATCAATTTGAATCAGATTATCTTCAAATAAATCAAAAGATATTTCAAAGAGGATGTTTGAATAATATAACTCACTGATTCATTAGTGAATATTTTCTTGATTGAAATATTTTGGTTTCCTATACAATTTTGTAACTGCAGGACCACAGAACTGAATAGTCAAATAGCAACCCCATCTCCCCCTGACCCATAGCAGCTACATCAAGGATGGCAGACACCAGCTAGTATTGTGTATTTAGTGCATTAGAAAGCGTAGTCGTGCTCTTTTATTCCACGTGTGTTCTGTGTATTTCAATTGCATTGCAAATCGCATAAGAAGTAAAACTAATACTTGCAGTGGTCAAAACTAAAGTGAAGGACAACAGGAAAACACAAAAGAAAAGAGCGAGCATGTAGCATAAAATCTATAAAATGTTTGACTTATAAAGGGTTTATCGGGAGAAGCTCTTATGATAGAAATAGTATTCTGAGATACCAAAAGCGACAACACAGCAATAAAAATGTCTCTAATTCCTAATGGCTTATAGTATGCATCAGGATCACACAACCTAGCTTACACCACTTATGTTCACCGAGATTTCATAGATGTGCGAGAGAAGAGTGGCTGAAGCTGTGTAGTCAAAAACGTATTTACAAAGGACACTGAAGTCTTGACATACTGGGTAAAACCCTATTTTATCCACAGAAGCAATTCTAAAGAATAGTGAGGGCAATGCTAACAGACTTACCTGAAGGATCTGCCAACCTATTGGTGCCCTCCTACTGCCCTCTACCAGAGCTTACGTGTCACCTGACTTGTCCCATCACAAACACACCTGGATAATCACAACTGTCAGGATTCATTGTTACCAGCAAGACAATACTATATTCCTAATGTGCAACGTGGAGAAGAAAAACAGTTGAGGATCACCTATCCTCAGCACCAAAGATGTTTAAGCCAGCATCCCAGAAATGAGTGATTTACTGCTTAACCCCATGTTCCCAGAGGCTTAGAGATAATATGGTCTGAAGACTCGGGCCAGTATCCTGATTCTGCAGAAGCCCTGAGGCACATCCAGGTACTGAGCCTAGAATTCCTACTGGCAGGTTTGTTGGATGCTCTACTACACAGGTCTAGTCATAAGGGCTCTGATAATAAAATGTAACATGTGCCCAACCAATAAATTAGGTAATAAGCATCCAGAACACAGATTCCTTCCCGTGTCCCATAGGGGAAAAAGATTCACATTTAAAGCAAATAATAATTTTAACCATACATTTAGTTTTATATAATATTAAATCACTTTTTATAATAAGCTGTGAACTAGGTTCTGTTTTGTTTCATTTTAGTAGCTAATTAGTATGTGACCATAATGATGTTTCTACTGTACTGAATGATTATATAATTATCATGCCAGGAATCTGTTCAAAAATGGAATGTGTAGAGTATATAATGAGTATAATGCTGCACTAAGAAAATCATTTTTTTAACATAATTAGAGATTCACACCATGTTCTTCAAGCGCACAACAGCATAAATTTACCTGACATACACACAACTCTCATCTACATACATTTTAAGTAGAGTACAGAGAAAGGAGAATCACATATGAAATATTTTCCTTTGGAAATAAGTACACAATCAAAAATTAACTAAATGTTCATTTTTATTATGTTTGGTAGTCAAATATTTGTTATACTGCCAACATCCCTAAATAGGAGTCCATTTAAACCCATCAGCTGTGAATGAAACCAACAGGTTTCAATATCCTAAATATCAAACTCAGTTACTGAAAATTAATAATATCTGATTCACACTAAAGAAGAGGAGAGTAATACTTATATCCTAAAAATGGGGACAGTTAATTTCTATTTTACCTTGTAAGTAACTGTAAAGGAAACTCCGAACTTTTTCCCCCTTGATTTTCCCCACATTTACATTAGCTTCCTCCTGTCATCTATCACCAGGTCACATCCAGCCTTCTCGTTCTCATACGACACTAGCCCCCTTAACCTGGGGTTACAGCAATGATCTCAATTCTCTGTGTACAAGGAACAACCCTCACCTCACAGAGGCAAAGCATTCATATGCTACCTGCCCATCAAATTAGGTGACAGACTATGATCTACTCTGAGAGAAAAATGAAAGGACATCTACATGCTTTATGTCAAATTGGGAATCATTTTATGGAAGAACTAGAATTCCATCGTAAATGTGGTTCTGTCCTTGAAGACTCTATCGAGGATGAGTATATTTAGAATTCCTTCATCCCTTTTGTAGAAATGATTCATGCCATGTTAAAAAAGATGACTGTGGCACTCTCTCTTTAAGGCAAATCTAATTCGTGCCAACTCTGAACAAGAGTCTAGGAGCACATGGACCTCCTTCTAGGACTGGATGAAGGGCAGAGTGGAAGGAGTATGCCTCATGGTCAGAGTGACGTTGGAGTTATCACTTAGCATGCTTCCTGTCTGTGCAGCCCAGCCCTTGGGCCTGTACAGGCAACTTATAAGGTACAGCCTTTCATCTTTCCCACTGAACAGGTAGGAAACTGAGGTTAGGTATGCAGGTAAGACTCACCCAGCAAAAAAGTGCCATAATAAGGCTTTGAACTTGACCTTACCCCCTTGGCCATCTTCTTAATCATTTTATTCACAGGTCAAGCTCATTAAGTACCTTTTTGACAACTGGGCTTTCCTATAGAAATTTCCTTAGTTCCAAATTCATATGTGGAGAATTTTCTTTTCTCACTGATGCCAAAGATCCTCATGGAGCCTCTTTCTTTGGGATTCACAGAAAGCTATTTGCATTTCAATATATTATATTTGTAAAAGAAAATTTATAAACCGGAACACTGGAACAGAAAAAATCTTGCAAAATATACTAAGGAGCTCATCTTATGACCTCACGACATGAGGTAAGCAAAACACTATTCAAGGAAAACATTTAAAAAGCATTACATATATTTAAGACTGTGTAAGGGAGATAAAAATGAGAAGTATCTGCAAGTCCCCTTTAAGTGCAGTTTAGTAACTTCATGTGCCTAGTGTAGTACCTGACACGGAATAACGTTCAACAAATAGTTGATAAATGAGTAATGCACAAAAATCCCACTAGGAGAATGTATCATTCATAAATATGCCTACTGGTATGGGGTTTTATAATTTTATCAGATCATTTTCATTTTGATAATTTTAATTCCACAAAAAAATGCTTTTAAGGTCGACAAGCTATATAATTAACCCCTTTTCAAAGACAGGAGAAATGACAGATCCGAGATCACAGAGAAAGTTAAGAATAAAGCAGACTAGAGCTCAGTGTGTCTGATTCTTAATCAATGACAGCATAGTAAAAAAAATTCATTTCAAATAAGAATATATACATCTTCCCTAAGTAGCCTCATCAGTGGAGCCTAATCTAAAGAAAAGTAGTAAACTTAGAGAATTTTCTGAATGTGGAAATATACAGATTTATATGTTTATAAAAATTTCAATTTCTAGACTTGAAGTCTTTCTGATATAGTCCACCTAGTTTTCTCTATTTAAAACATAATGCTTACAATGTTAGTCACTAAGGGGAAAAGAATCAAGATATTAAAAACAAAAAGCCATTTTGACATATGACAGGTCTCAAAAATCACAGAGTTCTGTGATTCCTGGGTTCTGGAATCGAACGAATTCAAGCTGAAAACCCCACAACGGGCCTTAGAATTTGAGAGGCTTTGGGCAAGGTATTTCATTTCTCTAAGCCTTAATATCCTCATCTATAAAATCAGGAGATAAGACTCTTATTGGAGTTAAATGATAAAATGTTTGGAAAATCACATACCTCAGGCCTGACACAAAGTAGAATCCCAAGAGCAATTAAATCTCTCCTTCTCCTCACAAAATCCTCCTGGCGTCCTGACCAGGGACTCTGGTACATGAATCACACTGGATGGTGGAGTGAATGTTTTAATTCACCCAGGTCACTGAGCTGCCTTAAATGCTTTTCTGTGTAAGGCATATAA